CCCAGCTCTGGCATTCATCCCAGAAACATCCAAAATTTGAAGGTGTTCAGGGCAGGACCCCATTGCCCCAATGTCGAAGTGATGTAAGTCCATGCTTTTGTATTATTAACTCATTAGGGAAGCCCTCTGCCTCAGTCCTCACCACTACTATTTTGTTCAGCTCCAGCAATCTCTCTGATAGGACAGGACACACACAAAATTATATATTCTCCTGCAGAGCCACGCTGAAGAATGGGAAGGAAATCTGCCTGGATCCAAATGCTCCCATGATCAAGAAGATAGTCCAGAAGTTTTTGGAAGGTGATGAGTCAGCTGCTTAATCTGTTCACTTTCTGTCAAATCTTTTTATCTCCCAAGAGGCGTAAGAGTTTGCAGCCTTACCTTTCTGCAGTTTTTCTTTATCCAGGATACCTATTCATGCTGTAATAAATTTGGACATGTTTTCCATTGTGTTTTAAAAAGTCGCATTTTATTCTGAGGAGGCTGGTTAATAGATGACAAAGAGAAGATAAAAGTAAGCAAGGCTAGTTTCAAAATATAACATATAGTTTACTCCCTAACTCTTGGCTAAATGTGGTACTGTGCTCAGCAGATCTATTAAGTGTTTTACAGGCATGAAATAAATAATTCTTATGAGATAGAAATGACCTAATTGAAAGCATGTCCTGTAGAGAAAGAAGAACTGGGTAACTCAGCTTTACCACTTGCTAGCTGTTTAACTTTGGACAAACTCCGTAACTTCTCTGTTCCTAATTTTCTTCACCTCTAAAATGGGATAATACTATTGGTTATTTCATAGAGTTGATGTAAAAATTAAAAGAATGAATAAATTCAAAGAGTGAAAATAAAGCATGTCACACAATAACCCATATGTAAATGTTAGTGATTATTTGTTATTATTACCACTAGAGGCCCAGTGCACAAAAATTTGTACACTCGGGAGGAAGTGGCCTGGCCTGTGGGATCGGCCGAAACCAGTTCTCCAACATCCCCTGAGGGATCCCAGACTGCGAGAGGGCTCAGGCCAGACTGAGGGACCCCACCGGTGCACGATCGGGACCAGGAAGAGATGTGGGAGATTGGCCAGCTGGGGAGGGACCGTGGGAGGGCTCCAGGGCATGTCCAGTCCAACTCGCTCAGT